CAGGATCCCTTGTACGACAACACAAGGGGTACATGTACCCCCGCCTCGACCTCGTGGGATACGAGGGTCAGCTGCAGGATGCAAGGAATCCCAGGCCTTTTTCAGGCTTCGACCTCATCGTCATCGAGCTCTGCCTCCGAAATTGAGGAACAAAGGCTTCTCGTTAGCTGGCTACTGTCTTGAACCGTGTTTCTTTCACGGTTTCTGCGCCTCTTCTTGCAGCAGAACAGTTTGCGTTGCCGCGAATGCGACGCACAATCGCCATGTTTTTCAGGGCTGCGAAGAACAGGGTGTGCCAAGCCGCCCCAGGTTCGCCAGGTCATGTTGTGTGATTATCGCTGGTGTCTCAGCGTCACATGTTGCGATTTTTTAGGTGTACCTGGCAGTTGTCACTGTTGTCACGATTCAGGTTTCTCAGGTCAGTGCGTAAGCTACTGTTTTACAGGAGCGCTGTAGTCCGACCTACAGTCGTCGCCTTTCTTGAGCCACAGGTTAGTGCGTAAGCCACCAGTCAACCAGGGGCCTCTTTTGACACTTAGGCGCCAGTAGCGGCCCGACTCAGGTGCTCCGAACCACAGTTTCCTCAGGTTGGTGCATAAGACACCAATCCGCAAGAGACCTCTCTCGGTCTCCAGACGTTCTTTTGCACAGTCTTCAGGAGTCTTTCCTGGTAGCTCTCTCAGGCTTTTCGACCCAAGGAGGTTTTTCTTCTCCTCTTGTGACGCCAAGAACCGAACAGTGTGGACACAAAAGCTGCAGCGCTTTCGTGCAACAGGCAGTTCATGTTGTCGGCGTTGGCATGCAGTTCGGCTTGTGCTTGTGTGCCACCGCAGTGCTGCACAGCGAGACTGTAGGGGAAGGAGCCTCACGGGTCTTTTCACCAATCTCGACCGGCCAATGTCAACCTGAGTCTGACAAAGGTCCACGATCACATTCTCATGACCGTCCTTAGATCGTTCAGCAAGCATCGAGACGAGCCCACCAATACCTGGCTTAAAAGTCAACGACTTCAAAAGCCGCCTGGAAACCTGGCTAGTCCGCTTACCGTGCCACCTTGTCCCTTTGGCTTCGATGTCATCAGCATGTACGTGCTTTGACTGACACTTGTCTGAAGGCTTCGAAACGAGTTTGGTGTTGGTGGTCAAAAAACTCCCATTCTCCCTCACAATACTTGACGAGAGTCTGCCCTTGCTGGTCTCGCGATACAATCCGTCGACCGTGGGAGCAGCCATCAATCCTGACGACTCGCCATTTGCTGCTCTCGAAGCAGAGCTTGTGTTGCTTGGTGTTCTTTATCTGAGCTTCCGGCGTCTACAATCACCTGAGCTCCCGACTTGGCCGCAACGAGGGCAATTCTTTGGACGACCTCCCCGAAAAAATTAACCAGTCGAGAATTTGACTTTCTCGTAGTTTTCGACGATATTGCGATTAACCCAAGAAGCCTTGCCAAGGACCCCAGCGCGGACAAATATCACGGAATTCGAGGATTGCTGCATTGTTCGGAGTATATCGGACAGGTAGGATGAGGGGTTGTGCCAGTGCAGTAATTCGCTAGGGCAGTGCCGCCGGCACCGAGCAGAGTGAAGGCTGAGCCCCCGCTGTGCGAGCTTTGTGGCGGGCAAAGCCCCCTCGCGACAGCTTTTTTTCACGGCCGAGGCCGATGTCACTGGCGAGGCCGACGACACGCAGCAGCAAGCTGCAGTTGTAAACTTTGTTATCTCCTTCCAGTGCGTCTCTCGCAAAACCACAGCGACACCCAAACTTAATTTCAGACCACTGTTGCTGACCCAAGTGCCCAGCATTCCAAGAGATGATGCGGATTTCCCGATTGGCACGGCTTGCTCGGGGCCTGCAAGAGCTTATCACCGACGCGGCTGGTGCCTGAGAAGGGCAATTGCCCACTCGACGAACCTGAGTGGGGGTGAGGACCTGACCTCGATGTAGCCGGCTGCTGCTTGGCTACAACCTTCCTGCACGCATGTTTAAAGGTTTTCTTCCGAATCTGACAATAATTACGCGAGTGCATCGGCAGCATTGCCGGCCGCTGATCTCGTCACAAAGCGAGCTGAGTGACTTCCTCCACCGCGCGGAAGGTGGAACTCAGTGCCTTAGACAGTGTTTGGGTCCAGGAAATGGGACCTGGCGGATCAGACCGGTTCAAGAGGCGGAAATTCACATGTCTCAGCGTGCGGGACAAACCCTTACCGTTCAAGAGGAGCCTGGTCGGAGCCTTATCAGGGGCGTTGCGCCCAGAGCCTGTTCGAAAGCCTCTCCAAACTGCGCGGCCGTCTGATCCGTGGCGGCTACAACGACTACAACGGCAACAACAACAAGCAGCAACAAGAACACCATCAACAACAAGAACAAGAAGACAGATTAAAGACCACGGCGCCGGCTGAGCCAGGGATAGCTCCTGCAGGGGAGGTGGTTCCGATGCAAAGTTCAGTTTCCGATAAATGGTTCGTTTTTACGAAGTTTTCAAGATTTCAAGCCTCGTTCCAGGTTCCGCTGGTTGCTCCATTCAGTAAACCTTATTGGAGCGTTAGAATGTGCACCTGACATTAGCACACGAGGCCTACCGGGCTGGCGTTGCTGCTGGAGTGATCCCTCCTTCGTATGCTGCCTTGGCACTACTAGACTATGTAAGGTGAATTTCAGAAGGAGTGCAAATGCTGTCATGGCAAAGCTCCGATCTCAAATGGCCGGTAACGCTGTAAAGCTCAACGTGCAGCATCGCGTTGGTGAACAGCTATCTTAAGCCTTAAGCAGTTTTTTTTGTTTTTGCCCGCCTTAAACCCCGGCTGCCGTTTCTGCGCTGGTCGTAGTCGGGCAGTGCTCTTGGACGCCTCTGTGCGCAAGTGAAGAAGCTTGTTGGGTTGCATCCCAAGTCAATATTCGTTCGCGCCGGTGGTCGCTGGGCGGTTTTTTTTGTCGCTCCTGGGCGCCTTCGCATGCAGCCGGGTGATAACAAAATTCTCTTGTCGGTTTCCTTTCTCTCTGTTTTGCTTTGTTTTCAATGCTGGCCTTGGATCCTCAGCGTGATTTGCGGCCGGGTAGTTGGGAAACATTCCCTTTGCTCATGGGTGCCTTTGCGCACAGCTTGGGGAGGCTAATAAGCACTGTTTTTCTTTGATTTTTGTCTCTCACCGCTCTTTGCAATCATTTCCATCCGGACGCAGCTGGTCCTCTTGAGTCGCATTACATGTTTCCTTTTTGCTGGACGCATCGGCCATGCGACTGCGACGGATTAGGGTTTAGGGTTTTCGGGGTTGTTTTTTTGTTAGGTGGCCGCGGTGTTTAGTTGGGCACGTTTTTTCTCCTTCATGCCAGATTCATGTGTGAGTGTGGCGTCCTACGACACGATCTGTTTTTTGGTTTCTGCAGATTAGGGCTTGTAAAAGGGGCAAAGTTCAAATCATGTAAATGGGACGGTGTCCAACTGGGAGGTGAAATCCGGTAAGCCGATAAGTTTTGCGACCTCAAGTCAGTCCCCGAGCTTGCAAGATAAGCTTCGACAGTTCCAGGCCGTCATGTTACATCCATCACGTGTAGTGTGGAGTCGTGGAGTCATTGACCCAACTGTTCAGTCATCGCAACAGGGCTGGACTCCAACGGAGTGTGTCTGTTTGTGCTGGTTTGTGCAGTACTTGGGATTGAGATTATTAAGATTAATTAAGTGGACCGACGCCGTGCCAGGCATGGGCATACAAGCAACCGCATCAGTATTGAAATGGGTTGTCCGTCGACTTCCAGGCATGGTCTGCCTGTGCCTGCAGCATCCATAGCCTTGAGCCTTGCGGCGGTCGATGTCTCCTGAGAGTGAATTCAGGGCGAGGGGCCAAGGCTGAGGGCTGGCGGTTTTGTGATTTCAGCTCGCGGAAGGCGTCCGAAAAGTGATAGATCCCTTCTGTGGTGCCGGCACAGTGCTGGCAATAGCGAACCAGCCGGAACCTCAGCTACCGGGCTGAGTTGTGGTTTTCTCAAGCAGCTCCGAGGTATGGTCTCGATGCGCTTGGTGTCCCGCCTGGCCTGATGACAATGAGTCAATGGATCTTGTGCGCGTGCCTTGCATCGTGCACAAGAATGCCCCGAAAGCCCCGAGGCATCGACATATCGCCGAAGCGAATCAAGCAGGCCCCCTGTGAAATGCACGGGCTGTTCAGGGCAGACGTTCTGAAGATGCTTTTGAGGACGTTTCGAACAATGCTAAACACTTCGCGTCGTCTGCCTCGGCGCGGTCGGATACGTCCGCAAAGGCAGACAACGGAAGGAAGGAATGAGGGAAGCAAGGATAGGCCAGGAGTGGGGGCAGGGGCAGGCCAGGAAGTTTGTGTCCTGCCTACACGCAACCGAAAGTGCACAATCGTGCCTTGGGGCAAGGAGCAATCACCCGACAAGAAATGCAAGCAGATCCTGCTGCCAAAGCTATGGACTGTGCTGATGCAAAACGCCAGCGTGTTCCTTGTGCTTCTTTGCATCAGCACGAAATCCTCTGCATGGCAGATCTTGGTTATTGTTCGCAAAGGCTGTTGTGGTGTTGTCTGCTTGGCATGGGCCGGAATGCAGGCGAAGCAGCTGGACGGTGCAGCGCTTCTGGGGTCACAGGTGCCAAAGCTGTAAAACAGGTTGCATCTGAGCCTCTGTAGCCGTTCCCTTGGGCATGATTTGCTGCGACAAGAGTCGGTGTTTCTACCGGAAGGTGCACACGTCCAAGGATTGAGTGGTGGGACGCAAGAGCATGCACGCTGCAACAGGACGTGCCGGCAACGGCAGATGTCAGCTTCGTGCCATAGACTTCGTTTTGTTAATGAGCTTGTACATAATTGTTCAAAGGGCTGTTTTCAGCCCGTGAGGAACCTTGTGTTCTGCTGAAGCCTGTACCGAAAACAACCTGTGCTGGAATCTGCAATGTGCCATGAGATCCATGAAACTGCAGTGCCATGGCCTTGGCTGTGAAAGCTTGCAGGGCCGGCTTGCACCCCCTGTATTCCCAGCAGTCGATGCTGACGTTCGAAGGCGAGCAGTTCCAAGGTGCCGCCTCTTGATGAGCCGTCGTTTTGCATGTTCAATTGACGTTCTAGATCGACAGCTGCAACCTGTGGAGCAGAGGCGCAGATGCAATTTGCCAAAAGATTGTCAGCTTGCCCTTCCAGAAGGCCGCCCATGTTCTTGGGCCCCTTAATGTACACAGAGCATGATAGCGCGCGCGAGTCTGGGGGTGGGGGTATGTGAGGGTGGTGGGCCTCGTCATGGCTTCTGACAGCTGTCGGCTGCGAATGAATCCTGGGGGGTCGCAGGTGCAGCACCAGATTGTAAAGTGCGACTGTCAGCCCTCGGCGAATGATGGTGCTTGCCTCGTCTCCAGCTGTTCGGGCAGCTTTTTTTTGTTGGTCAGATTCGTGCCAGAGGTTCAAGTAACCTTGACCGTGTAGGGCCGTCCGCCGCGAGGTGTAGTGATCTTTATCACTGGGAATCTCTTGGTAGACGACAACGCGAATCCACTGAAGCTGCAGCCTCAGCGGCTGCTGTGCAGGACACTGCGGTGCACTGCGCTGCACAGCTCCAGGTTTGCGCAGGTCTTCCAGCTCATGAAGGGCCCCACCGGGTATCCTGGACTGGACATACAATGCTCGCCTGTTGCACCCACGTACCAAGCCTCAGGAACTACTATTGCCACAATGATATGTTCCGGCTGAACATCGGCTGAGGGGCCGCAAAAATACAAGGGCAAGAGAAGAATCCGAATTTCAGACGTTCAAACAACATATTCGATGTGCACAGCACACTGCACGAGCACTAGCGAGTCTGCAGAGTCGCACACGCATGCGACATAGCTCTCCTGCAATGCCAAGCGATGCGCAGAAGAGATGTCGGCAGACATAAGTGTTTGTACCGTTCGCGCAAAGTGCAGGCAAGTGAACGACAAAAGACTGTGGCATGAAATCACTGTGGTGAGTACGGTCGCGTTGCAAGGAGTTGAGAGCTTGACTCCAATTTCTTTCAGCAGCGCGTTGCGACACAGTGGCCCAAGGGATTGCGGGAACTCCGCCCCTTAGGTTTTCTGAGCCATAAGTAGTACCCTACCCTAGCAGCCTGCCTCTGGTGCCCGCTCCTGAGCAGTGAAAATCTTTCCTTGACCGCATTTCGTCAGAGGTCGGGCACCGCTGAGGTTTTCCATCAGCGAGATGCAGAAAACGCTTGCAGTCCCTCCGGCTACTGCCTCACCGGCTAAGGCTCTGGCCAGAGCAGTAGCATGCAGTATCTGTGTAGGGTACTGCAAGCGGCATTCGACAGATTCGGACAGGAGCCGCCGCCGACGAACGTCAGGTGCAATCCTTCTGTCATGACCATGCAGCCGCCGGCCTGCACGGCCTTCGTTTCCACAGTTGAGGCTTGATGCCTGGAAAAAGTCGATTGAAGGCAACAAGGACCTGGACCCAGTGAAACTTGCATGTCCGCAACCAATGTTGCGAGATCCTGTGTAAGGTTAAGCGCTTCAACAACTACCAGGACTTCTGGTCAGGGGATGGGTGATACATGTTTGTAGAGTGCAACTGCGAGCAGGAACGGCGGTCGGAGTCAGAGAAACTTCGGGATCAGCTGAAGTCCCAGGCGGGGGACCAACCTTCATCGTTACGGACATAACACTGTAATGACACTGATATATCGGCAGGACATTCCAGAGGAGCAAAAAGAGTGCATCAAACGCAACTATGCCGCTCAACAGGAGAATGCATTAGTAGATGTCCTTTCTTCGCACCTCAACTTGAACATACTCGAGTTCTCGACAGGATGCATATTGGAGGGACAGCCGGAAAGAAATCACTATTGGCGACTTCGAGCTGCTGAAGGCATAGAACTGTCCCATAGACTTCGTGACCTTGACCAAAGACCAAAGCGTAGACCTGCACTTGTGTCAAGTCTGGATCGAGGTCATTGGCACCGGAGCCTTCGGCATAGTCAGGCTTTGTCGCCACAAGGCCTGTCTGAGTCAGCCATTCTTGTCAGGCTTCGCGAGTGTTTTGGGCATCCCGCGATAGTTTTCCGCTTTCTTTGCCTCTAACCAGCTCGGCTCGAATTCTCGTGGGCCCCTCACAAAAACACATCGACTTGCACAAGACAACAAATCTGCAGCAAATACTTGAAGCACCTCGCACCGTCCAGTGCCTGGCAATGGCTGAGGACGAGGGTTTTGTGGACATCTCGGAGCAGAAAGATGGGGGTTTGCTCAAGAAGATCTTAGTGGAGGGTCAAGGCGACGCGTCACCAACTCCAGGGTCGTCGGTGGAGGTGCATTATGTCGGCACTCTTCATTCAGATGGGAGCAAGTTCGACTCCTCGCGGGACCGCGACAGCAAGTTCAAATTTGACGTGGGAGTGGGGCAAGTCATCAAAGGTTGGGATCAGGGCATCATCAGCATGAAGCGAGGCGAGAAGTGCATCTTGCGTTGCAGCGCTGACTATGCTTATGGGGAGCATGGAAGTCCGCCCAAGATCCCCGGCGGTGCTACGCTGAATTTTGAGGTTGAGCTTTTTTCTTGGAAAGAGAAGGTGAAGCCGCCAGCAATGATGACAGCAGAGGAGCGTCGCGAACATGCATCGAAGATGAAAGAGATGGGCACGGAGGCGTTCAAGCAGGGCGACTTCCCTACGGCAGTGAACCGATATGAAGACGGCGCAGAGTACATCACTTATGATCCTGATGCGGAGGACGAACGAAGTCACAGCCATGGTGGCATTCCATGCGATGGAGATCATGGTGGTGACGATAGCCATGGAGCCAAGGAGCCTCTTCAGCTGTCCGATGCGGATAAGCAGCTGGCCATCGCACTGCTGAACAACAGTGCCATGGCTCGCTTGAAGATCGGCGAGCACGACGCGGCCAAATTCGACTGCACCAAGGTGCTGCAGTATGACGCCAAAAACATCAAGGCTATCTTCAGAAGGGCCCAGGCCGAGTTTGCCTTGCACAACTTCAAGGCCTGTGCCGAAGATGCAAAGCGCACTCTGGAGTTAGATTCAGGCAACAAGGAGGCAGAACAGCTCGTGAAGAAAGCCATCGATGCTGAGAAGAGAGAGAAGAAGCAAGAGAAGGCCATGTATTCCAAGATGTTTGGATGAGCAGAGACGCATGAAACATATAGAATGTAGACTGGCGGACTCCAGGCCAAAAAGTTCCCGCATCTGTATGGAATGTGCAGCTGTTGCAGCTCCAAATGGTCGGACGTGTGCGTTGGATCCGAGGGCACCGGAGAGATCCGGGCCATGAAGCAGATGAACAAGAAAGAGATGGTCTTTAAGAATCAGGCGCTTTATGCTTGGCACCCCCAACCTGCTGCATCATCCTTCCCTTGCCCAGGTCCACCACGTGCGTGCAGAAAAGGAGGCACTCAGCTCGGCCAAGGACGGTTGGATAACTTCGGGAGTGGGAGAGATGTGACGTCACAAGTTCATTTAGCGAGTGACTTCTTCGAGGACGATTGGGTCATTGGGCTGCACTACACATTTCAAGACGATCAGTATCTGTACATGGTGATGGAGTGCGCCCACTCGACGCCTCATGCTGGCGTGGAAGTTGCTTGAGCAAAGTTGGAGTGCCGACGTACAGCAACCCAGAACAAGCTAATTGGTTACTTCTCCGCGTGTACTAGGACAAGGAGGTTTTAGCGACCAGTCACCTACCTACGGCTCCTCTTGAAATCTTGTGCAATCAGTAGTTATCCAACCATGTTGAGCCCAGATGACGTGGCTGAGCACATCCTCTCACCACACATGACATGGATCACCTCATGCCATCGTGGCCGGGCAACGCCGTCAGCTACATCAGCAACGAGCCGTGGACACCTAGAAAAGCTCGAGCAACAGATGGCACTCCCGAGCTGCTCACCCCACCTAGCCTGAAACGACTACCACCGGCTGACAAATACGATGTCGTGTGTTTAAACTGGCCAAGCTGCAGCATGCCTCAACACCAAAGAGAGCTGTGACAAGTTCATCCGCAGAATCGCTCAACTCAGACCCAGCGGCGACAAGCTCCTTCGCAGAAGCTGGTGCACCGGTCAACCCGTGTACCTCAGACCCAGTGGCGAGAAGCTCCTCTGCGGCTGCTGGCACCCGTCCACTTCCGGGCCTGTCCGCAGGACATCGAAGAACAGCTACGTACGATTCCTGTGGTCGAACCCCGATGTCAGATATGGCCAGAGGTGCGGGGAGTTTCGCAGTCTGTTTGAGGAGCACACTGATGAGGTCACCGTGCACATCACTTCGTCGGCACAACAGGCCATGCCGCATGCGGACAGACAGCCCAAGGCCAAGGCCAAAGCCGCCGGCAAGGCGACGCTGGCCAAGTGCAAGCCCGCTACCACCAGCAATCGAAGTTTGTTGCGCCGGCTGGTAAGGGGAAGCAGCAGCCACAATGCGTCTTCTTCCCGAAATGGAAGAGGGAGTGAACGAGTTCATGTCCTCCATTATCTTTGCATATCTCCCACATGCGTCATGAACAGAAAGCCTTTGCTCCACAAAGCCGCCCAATACCTGACACAATGACACGCTGTTTCGGAAAGGGCTTTTCTATGCAAGTGCAGGTGCGTCTTTCATGGCTGCAACCCCTTGCATGTTGGAATGTGAACCTCGCTCCGCAGTTACCTGCCTGGTGGAGACCTCATGACCCATCTCATGCGCAAGGACTTTTATATAAGGTGTTTCGATGAGTTGATGGGGCCATCTACTTCGCTGTTGCAAGTGCTCAGTCTTGCGTCTGCTATTGAAGGACACCTTCTCGGAGGAGGAAACGCGTTTCTACATTGCCGAACTTGTGGAGGAAACATGGGCTGCATGCTTGTATGGCAATGCTGAATCGGCAGTGTTCAACCATGTTTTCCTTGCATAGGCCATTGACTACATTCACACCAACTTGCATTACATTCACCGCGACATTAAGCCGGACAACATCGTCTTCGACATTGATGGCCTGAGACCTCAGTGCAGGAAATCAGGTGCCCATGCGGCTCACTGATGAGGTTGTTATTTGTCCGAGTAGGTCAGTGTATTGCCATGGTCGGTCTTGTTGGGATGCTGGGTGGATGAGCTAGCAGTGGCAAGTTCATGCATTTGCATCCGCGCAAGCCAACTCCCCGCACCCCAACCACACCTGTCAACGCTTCTAGATGCTACTCTCCACCGAAACAGAAACCACCCAAAGAACTGTCACGTGACCACCTCTCACACACCTTACAAAGCTTGATGGATCTCGGCGGCTTCATGTGTAGTTCCGTTGGTAGAGTGAGGATTCAACCCAGACCAATCGGGCCTAACGCCGTCCATGGCGGTCGTCTCTACACTCGCAGAATTCCGAACAGCCAATTTCCGGAGTTAGCGCCCGAGCTCAAGCATACTCTGCAGGCTCTGCTTCCCATATTCCTTTCTTGCTATGTTGTAAGTCCATACAGGTCTGTGGAAACACGTTCATGACACACGTGCATGTGTTGGTTTGCTGCTGCTAGAGATGGAAGGTCACATCCACCTCCTCGTCGGATTCCCAGCCGATGTTGACCGAATACAATTGGCAAATTGGGCTCACTGGTCTTCCGATGGTATCAGACAGCCTTGTACCACATGGAAGCGCACGTATAGCCAGGGTTAGTAGTCCCAGCTGCATTTTTGCTTCTGTAAGGACTTTGGCTTGTGCAAGTACCAGCCCCCGGAGCCTGCCCAGGGTGAAGGACGGAAGATGTTGGAGCCGCTCGCATCGCGCCTGTGATTCTCGCGCTCGTGAGGTGTTCCTACTGGCAGCAGTGCAGACAGCCAAAGCAGCAGCACGGCCACCATTGGCCGAGATGTGGAAGTCGCGGCGCTGAAACAGCTACCATGTGATGTCAGGCCCTTCATACAGGCGTGCAAGGCATCCTCCTCGAGAAAAAATGCAATCGGTAGCTAGATCCTCGGCTTTTGCGTCCATGCATCATGTCGTGTTGGCTTTGTCGTCGCTAGGTGGGAACGCGCCTCCGACGTGCTTGCTCTTCTGGGAGCGTCCTTCATAGTCAAAAGGCAGCTTGCAGTGCATCCCTTTTTTGCAGATGCCAGGCCCGACTACATGGGACCAGAGGCAGTGGAGGCTTCTCAGAAGAGTCAGGCATTTTGCCATGTCCGAGAGGTCTACAAGAAGGCGCCATATGGAAAGGAGTGTGACATGTGGTCGCTGGGGATCATCATGTTCGAGGTCGGAGTCGGAGTGCTCGGAGTGCTCGGAGTGCTCGGAGTGCTCGGAGTGCTCGGAGTGAGTGCTGTGAGTGTTCTGGGGCCTTGACCAGATGCTCTTTGGCGGTCCGCCTTTCAGCGATGAACGGCACGATCCATCAGCCCGGGGCTTTCTTGAGGCCGAGGCTTCTTGCAGAGCTCAACTTCTCTCTAGGTGACTTCTGCAAGAGTGATGCACTGGCGGAGATGGTTCCATATACCACCAGATCCACATGTCAGCTCAGAGGCCGCGTCAGAGGAAGAACGGACTCAGAGTTACTACGAGAGTGTGAGAAGAACCTTGTGCCAAGAGGCTCGCGATCTCCTCAAAGGCCTCATCTGCGATCCCGCCGAGCCTTGAAAGCACTTTAAAGCCTCGCGTTTGCGCTCAGGCGGTCCCGTGATTGAGTCTGACTGAGGACCGCTTGTCAGCTGATCAAATACGAGTGCATCCCTTCTTTCGAGCTGGATCCCAAAGCTCCACTCAACTCCAATCCTTCCGACAGCAACAAGAAGTGCTTCTGCAGGGTCTGGACTTCAAACGGCTTCGCAGCATGGCCCCGCCCATCAAGCCGATTGCCCCTCGACCACGTCGAAGCTGTGGCATCATGACGTGAACACCTGCTCCCGCAGGTCAAAGGTCCGCTTGACACCTCCAACTTCGATGACTTCCCGGGTGCTGATGACAAGTTCATGATTCCGGCCGAAAGACACAAGGCATCGCGCGTGCCAGCACGGTAGGCTCTCACCAATGCTTGCTTTCACCATTCAGGCGACTGGCGACAAAACGTTGCTGGCGGCGTGAGGAGCTGAGTAATTGATGCACCGAGTTTATGCAGGATGTTTGGGGCATGATGCCCAAAGGCAGGAGCGGATGAGCACGAAGGTTGGTCTACATGCTTGTGTCAGTCATGCTTGCAAGTGCTTCCGAGGTTCCACGACTATGGCTACCGGCGCGACTTGGAGGCCTGTGCCGCGTGCAGCTGGGGTCCCAAGAGTCAGGCATGGATGGTTCGAAGGCGAAGAAGCCTTCAATCACGGCGGCACTCAGTTCAGCCAGCGTCGTGGTTATGCAGGAGGTAAGCTGTTGCCTTGGTGTGGTTTGTTGGGGTCTACGTGCTGGGAAGTGGGTATTGGGTGTCTTCAGGCATCAGCACCCAGTGGATTGGTTCAGAGCCATGCGCCCCCAATGCGGCCTGCACAAGCTCAGCAAGGACTTGCAGTGATCCGCTGGATCCGAGTTTGAGGAGCGAGGGCCTTGGGAAAGTCACCAAAACTTGCCGACAGGACCTCCCCAACACAGCTTTGCCGCCAGCTCAAGCGCTCGAGCAGACTCATGCAGGACGACGGCAAGGCTCGCTTGCTTGTTCAGGTGGCGAATCGGGGCAAGCAGCCAGCCAAGAGTTCGATGAGCCCAGCGATACCAGGCAGTGTGCACAGGTGTGCACAAGGCTGCAAAGCAAGCTGAAGTTATAGAAACGGAATGTGGAGGGTGGCAGCTTCATGGCCACATCGCTGCCAGCCACTTGCATGGCAATCGCGCATGGCAATCTTCTGCAACCGGTTGTTTGCCTCAGCTCAAGCTCTCACAACCACTGCCGCCATGCCAAGGGCGAGACAGAAGCGGCATAGGGCTGCGAAGGTTGCAAGCGTGTGCACCTTCTGTGCGATCCTGGCCTCGCTGATAGCAGCACCCGTGACCGCCTTTCAGGCGTGGAGGGCAAGCTTGGCAAGATCCCTTCAAGGACACTGTGAACGATGCGACCGCTCCCGTGTCATCAGGCTTGCTAGCCAGGAAGGATCCCCAGAAGATGATGCAGATGCGGCAGATACTGAAATAGCAGAAGATTCGGAGGATTGGCAAGAATTCCGTGCCAGGCTGGTGCAGCAAGAGCAGGGAGCTGGAGCAAATGCAGATGGAATCTCGCAGAAGAAGGCGGAGCAGTGGGCCTATGAGATGCCCGTTATAGAGCAGGGATCCATCCTATTGTCTGCGCCTAATGATCATTTTGCCATCAACCAGCAATACTTCCACAAGAATGTCATCTTTCTTGTGACGCACACAGATGACTTCACAAAGGGGGTCATTCTGAACAGACCCACGGCTTTCAGCACCGCTGACGTGGAAACCCAGTTCAAAAACCTTGTGAATTTCTCTCACGAAGGCGCAGACGACTGGAACGTGTGGTGTGGTGGGGACTGCCAAGGCATCAATGAACGCGAGGATATCCCTCCCGAGTATTCCGTTCTGCATGGCTTGAAGTCACTGGCGGATCGCAGTGAAAAGATCACTCAGGGAGTGTACTCGATAGGCCTTGAAGACGCCAAGAAGCTTGTAGCCGCAGGAGAGGCAGACAAGGACGACTTCTTGCTGCTTGTTGGCTACTGTGGTTGGAGTCCTGGGCAATTACAGGGTGAACTCGACCGTTCCAATACATGGACAATGGCCTCTATAGATCCGCGAACGCTTCTAGGTGAACTGAGAACGGCCCAGTCCAGCTTGCGCAAACGCATCGAACAGGCATCGAGTGGTGACATCTTCACTGCAGACGACGTCGGTGACGGCATTGAGATGTGGGAAAGACTGTACACAGCCTTGGGGCCAAAGTATGAACAAAGCCTTGCAGACTTCAACTCGACAGGTGACAATGAACACACTGATGAGATGTTGCGACGCTGGATCAACCGGTGCCTTATCCCGACCCGGTACAGCCCCGAGCGGCTTCCAGAGTCTGAGGTCGTTAAAGGCTTGCAGAATGCGTTGAAGTCTGCCAAGGCGGGCACTCTCAGCCATGGAACGGTGTTGCGCGGCTCAGCCACCGCTTGGCAGCTTGGCTCGAGCCTGTCCCACCTTGAAAGACTTTGGGTTCTCTACTATGTTCGATAGGCCTGTACCCAAAGTACTTCAGCAGACCTCGACTAGAGATCAGGGAGCTGCATGGGGCCTCCTCGAAAATTCGAGCGTGTGCTCAAAGCTAAGTCAGACGCTGTGTTGATTGTTGAGGCTGCTTGGCAAACCTGCAGAAGACACTGCCTTCGACCTGAGACGCTTCTTGCCGGCCCAGTACTTCCACAAGTCCGTGGTGGTTTTGATCAAGCCCGAGGAGAGCGAAAGGAGCGAGAGGACGGGTGTGGCCATGGTCGCACTCCTCAACGGGCCGCCCTTGGGCCGTGAGAAGAGCGGCCCTGTCTACTGGGGAGGCCCTCAGGGTCCGGACATCAAACTGCAAGGCAGCGACGAACAGTTCCGCGGCTTCACGATCCTCTTCCCCGGCATGCTGGAACGCCTCTTGGAGCTAGGGGCCTTCGAGGTGACAGACGTTGACGTCCGTGAGGTCGTCAAAGTTCCTGTGGACGAGCGCTGGCAGTTCGCAGGCGGAAAAATCGACAGCCTTGCGGACGCCAGGTCTGCAAGTCTGGGTGATGTGCAAAGAGAGAAGTGGTTCAAGCGATTCATCTTCAATGAGTGATCAATACTGCAGTATCTTTGGATGTGTAGCTGATACTTCAAAGTGCGTGTCGACCTCAGGGCATGTTTCAGTGTAGTTGTCCCGCCTGGAGTCGCCAAAGCCTGTGCAAAGCGGCTTTCGGAAGCCTGTACAAAGTCGGGAAGCGAGCGCAGTTTCAATGTGGCAGCCTTTGCCAAAGCTGAGTGTGCAGAGCCAGGGCTGCTAGGACCACCACGCCGGATGTCGCTGGATTGGAAAAGGCAACACTGCAAGGCATCGGAAGGTGTCCTCCCTAGTCTCTTGAGACTCGGCGTGGTGAAGGGGGGACCGCTTGGCTTTGTGTAGCAGGTGGCCCGTCAGTCGCCCGTGCTCCGTTGCTTGTGTCTTACAGTTAAGACAAATGGCAAGACAAATGGCAAGACTTGAGTTGATCTGCTCATACCCTTTTTTAGGCCTACGCAGTGGTCTTCAAGTCCCTATGCACCAGTCTATGCTGGCTACACAGGCAAGTGGCATGCAATCCTCACGAGCGAGCATGAGAACGGTCGTGAGAATGTCTCTTCGTCTCGTTGGCACAGGCCCTGCAAATCCACAGCTACAGGCTGGCACTGTGTGCAGCGAACGGAGCGAAAGGCTTTTTTTTGAAGCAACACTCGTGCGAGCGCGTCGACACTTTCGACGTGCACTCGACCCTGTGGCTAGCGAAAACTGTGCTGACTACTGAAGGTGCTTAGAGAATCTGGAGGAAACCAGAATCACCGTAGTTGCATTGTTGAGTTGTCCTCCTCCGAACCGCTGGCTGGCGTGCTTCCTGCGCGGCAAGGCTTACTGCCCTGCTTCGGCCAGTGGGCCAAGGTCCACTGAAAGCAAAAGTTTTCCAAGCCATGCATTGGCGGCTTGAACCACTTGTGCCATTGGCACTTGAAGGCCGCCTCTTCAAGCGATGCCGGTTGGCTTCGTTCCGGGGACTTCGTGTGTGGCCCTTGCGTGGCAGAGCTGGACACAACGCGGCATGAGTTGTACTGCTAGGCCAGGGAACTGTCCTCACGTCACAGGCGCTTGGCTCAGAGTGCTGTCAAACTGTGGGGCAGTTTAGATCAATTTGTAAACTTAAGGTTTCTTCGGGTAGGTGGATGATTGGTGCAGAGACGATCTGTGTAACACGGCACTCATGTCCAGGTCACTGGTCTAGATTGTGACGGCAAGGGATACTTAATGTGTTACGGAGTGCTAGACAGCATGCAACAGTCATGTCACGGCTGCCGGTTTGACTGCGGAATTTATAGTTTTGCTGTGGTGTCCAGCTGTGAAGTAACAAGAACATTCGTACATGCACCGTCGCACATGTGTTGCCAGGGCACAGTGTGTTGTTGTTGTTGTTGCTGCTGTTGTTGCTGCTGTGTCGAAGCTACACGATTGGATGTATTTGTACCTCGACAACGGCCTGGAATTTCAGGAAATGTGAAATATGTTTAGTTTTGTTGGAAAGAGTCGGTCGTGTAGAGCCTGCGCAGGGTTTGGGTCCATTCCACCGGTTCCTGTCTTTGCAGTGAGGGTCCCATGATGCAACACGTGCAGCAGGCTACCTCACTGGGGCTCGCCGACTTGCTCTGTACGTTCGGCATGGTTTTTCTTTAAGACGGACTTCGCTTCGGCTGTGGTTCTTAGGCCGTACAGCGGTGGTCAGGAGAGTTGTGCAGGAGTGACAGGGGAAACATCCACTGCAAACTCGCAAAGTTCCAGCAGCGACTCTTAGCGATAACGGCGTTCTGCGACAATCCTTTGGCAAAGGCAACCCTTTCGCTCTCGGTTGGTTTGTTGTTTGACAGAGGCTAGCCCAACATAGAAAATGTTTGCTTGCACCGAGTTTTGATTTGAGATTCCCAGAACCAGTCCGTTGCTGGTCCAAGTAACCATGGATCAAATAAAAGGGCCGTCGTAAGGTCAGGTCCAGTCGTCCAGACGAAGCCTTGCTTGGCCAAGCAACCCCATGAGTGAGCCGAAGGTCACACCCGACCAAACACGCATGGCGATAGCGTGATAGTCGCATATTGTTTCTCCTTCAAAGTAGGTGCCATTACTACGTCCGTATGCATCATGAGATGGCACCGCCAGATTGGCCTTCACGAGCAGCTCTCAACGCCTGTAGCAAATTCGTGAACGTGGCCTTATTGGTGGTCGAGCTCTGGGGCAGCGAGTTTAGCAAGTCCGTTTAAGATGTTCGCGACAGTTTCATGGTCGAGGGTTTGGGTCAGAGTTTCGAGTCACATATCTGGTTGATGTGCAGCGCTGATGTTAAGCAAGCCCGCACGCTACGTTGTTCCGCTCCGTTGCTTAACCCGTCGCACGTTTCACTGTCACGACCCTGCATTCGCTGGCAGATGTGCAGCTCGAAACGTGCCACAGCAGATGTCGTTCAGGACAGTGCAGAGTTTCATCCGTTGATGCTTCTCATTTATTGGTCATAGTCGTTTTCAGTCTCAGGTGCCGCTGGCAGCACCTCTGGGACAGCCCGTGCCACAGGCCCGGGTAGTTCGGAGACGCAGGAAAGGTGCAGGAGGTGTCTTCGCGTTGAAGCCGCAGGTCAGCGCAGTAAACCACGTGGACGTTGCTCCCTTCTGCCTGCCTCGGTGGGGCACGTAGCAAATGGCGGTAGCCTTTCCATGCTGAAACATCTGTGCATGTTGCATGAGACCTGCAGGGCTGGACATCCGAGTGCTCCGTGATGGCCACAAGCTCACAAAGACAGTTTCACTTCATAGCCCAACCACAGAGGCTTGGTTGCGGAGAATTGCCAGCAAAAGTTGAAAGGGTCGGTTGCGTGCGTGTAGTTGCAACTTCGCAGAACTAGTTCTTTTGGGCCGCAGAGCACCGGGCCACGTTGCAGCGCTTGCAGCGCGGAGAGGTTCAAGGGAGCGGAGCCGTGAGAGTCCACCCGCCAATGCCTCAGAGACTCTGCCGGCATGGTTTCATGCTCGGGTTGTTACGAATCAGGCAGCCATGCTTTCGACGCTGCGGCGCATTCCTGTCGGGTGCTAATGTCTGCGCATTGCCACATCACCACCATCAAACATCTGCACATGCTGCGGAGTGTTTAAGCTGCCTGTTTCTGTGCCAGACGCGACCAGTACTGGCAGCAACTGCCAGAAGTTTTGCGGCCGCCAAGGACACAATTTCAGAAGATGTCTTTAGTTGGAGGGGGCTTTAATCTGGAGCATTGAGGATATTCGCCATGGGAGCGAAGCACGGGCTTTGATGCTCGAAGGCCTTGAGAACCGAGAGCATCAGAGTTATCCGAGCCTATTCTAGCATGAAAGGTTGCAACCGCTTGGCCGATGCCGTCGCCGTGACCATGGGACCAAAAGTGTGGGCCCCACATGTCCCGCTCTTGCCGTAATCGACCTCTCTTTTGCTTCACCGGTTCGTGAGGGCAGAAACGTGGTGATCGAGCAATCTTTTGGTGCGCCGAAGGCGGCAGTTTATGTGATGCAGCACCACCGTGTGCTTTTTTTTTTTTTTGTGCGTGNNGTGTGTGTGTGTGTGTTTGTGGGCTTTTCGCATGCTTCACCGGCTTGTCATAGCAGAATGCCCAAACAAAGAGCCAGGTCACGAAAGACGGTGTCACGGTAGCCAAGTCGATTGACTTGAAGCCGAAGCCTCGGAAGCCTCGCAAGCCTCGGAAGCCTCGGTCTCCAAGTTGGCGGTTTTGAGCCTCTCGGAGCTCCCAGGTCCAGTCCAATGATCAATGTGGGTGCACAGCTTGTGAAGACCGTCCGCAGCCCAAGCTCGAGGGTGCGGCTTTCTCGTGAATCCAGAGGCGAAGTCTGTTGACATTGTGCTCTTCAGGTCGAGTCATACAGGAGCGAAGAGTCTGTCATACTTAGCTTAAGAAGATCCCATGTATGTAATCGCCTCAGTGAGCCTTCTGTTTACCTTCCTTGAGTTGTTTTCTAACTCATTTTTTCAAATGTCGCTCTGGCCGCCAACGAGTCCTGTGCAACTCTATCATTGACTATCAATCTTCAGTGCTATGAAAGTCCAAACTGGACGTGACAAGATTTTCAATATGCAGGGTGAAGGTCTGCGTAGAATCAATCAGCAGAGCGAAGACTGCATGTCCTGATTGTGACTACACTCGGTACTCTGTTTCCAGGAACAACCCGTCAGCATGAAACACTGTGGGTGTTGTGGCACACCATAGCCGAAAGAGTGGCTGCACCACACATGGTACGTGGTCAGAGTGCGGAATGAGGCACCATAAAGTATCACAACCTACGCATGTTACCTTCATTCAACTGTGCGTCTCCATCTTCTTTCCAGTAGGTAAGCACATAAATGTACACAGCTGTGGTACTTGCTCAACCCGCGCTGCGGTTAGAATGCAAACAGGCTTATCCACCATTTTCGGGCGTGTCGTCATAGCCAACCTCTGCCCAAATCAAGTGTCCGGGCACAGACATCACGAGCCCTCAATCACGAGATTGAAGCCAGATTGAAAGATTCAACTCCAATCCGATCCAGATTCCAGATCAAGATTGTGCAGACGTGGGCTGCATCGTGGATTTTCGATTCGAATCCGGGCGTGTACTCATTCCCGGGTCCAACTTCAATCGTTGAACTTGGCCTCACTTTTGCAATCATTGAAAATCAAGCGGGTCTAGACTTGTGCAGCATAAGCAACGCAGTAGCTTGGTCCTCCCTGAACGAAACTCTGTTCACGCAGTTCGGTTTGGGAAAAGCTCCTGAAAACACAGGCGCGCTGTCAATCGTGTGAGCTATGCTGAAACGCTTTCGATCGCTGTAGGCACAGTTCGTTTATGGCCTTTACAGATCTACAGACGGGCTCTTACAAGATGTGCAGTACCTTTGATGCTCCCAATCTCTACTGTGGTTCAGTAACAGATGTCAAGACCATAGGGGTCCAAACAGATGGTATCGGCTGATCGATGTTGTGAATACTGGTGCTGGTTGGAGTTGAAGTGTCCCGATATTTGCAGTCCTAGGACCTACCATCAGACCTGACTCAATGTCAGCAACGAACAAACAGGCGAAGGGGGTGGATCCTGATGCTTACAGGAATAGACGGTGTAGGGCCATGTTTATAAGGGTTAACGCCATTTTGAAGAGAGGGCCTTTGTCCTCAAGGCGAAATTTTGCAGCTTCGCTTTGTTTTACTGAAACTAAGATGGCTTGTCTGGGAGCTTCCAGACCCGGATAGAACCCGGCGAGCCGTTTTCGTCAGCACTCACGGAGCGTCAGCATCGGAAGTTCCCTCCCCCTGCCCCCCCCTCCCTTTCTCACGGTATTCTCCCTCTGCCTCCCCCTTGAGGAGTGACACTGCTCGTCCCTACCCCACCGCGTTGGAGCGACACTGCGCTTGCCTCACACGGGACACGGGCTTTAACAGGCAATAGAACACGTTGAAGGTTGAAGGAGAGGAGGGGGCGTGCTGTGGGGCACTGCTCCAAAGACATTGCGTCACAAAGTTCTTCTGCATGTTCATTAGCAGTAAACAGCTTCTCGATCTCTCAGATTCTCACAGCAAGACATGAGATGCAGCGTGTTGTGGTATCGGAAGCAGGTTCGGATAATTTTGACCCCTGCTGATCTCAAAAATGCAACGACAACGAAGCATTACTCAGCACCTCGGAGGCAAGAAAAGACACACAATGTGCAAGCCTGAACCACACCAGGCGACATAAGTCATGAGCCAACCGCTCGAAAAGAACCAGAGAATTTCAGAAGAAGGAGCAAAACGCTCGAAAGAGACTAGAGAGTTTGAAAACAAGGAGCAAATCGCTCGAAAGAAACTCGAGAGTTTCAGAAGAAGGAGCACACCGCTCGAGCAAACGGTTCGAAAGGAACTAGAACATCTCAGAACAAAGAGCAAACCGCTCGAAAAAAAATAGAGGGTTTAAACCCGCTCGAACGGAACTAGAGAATTTCAGAAGAAAGAGCAAGCCGTTCGAAAGAGACTAGGGAATCTCGAAAGAAGCTCAGAATTTGACAACAAGGAGCAAACCGCTCGAAAGGAACTGGACAAGTTCAGAACAAGAGACTAGAAAATTTGGGTAAAGACTTGAGGACTTGACAACAAGGACCAAACCGCTCGAACGGAACTAGACAATTTCAGAACAAGGAGCAAACCGCTCGAAGCAGAGCATTAGAGAATTTCGGAAGACAATAGACAGCGTTAAAAAAGAGAGCAAACCCTTCGACAGGAACTAGAAAATTTTAGCAGAAGGAGCAAACCGCTCAAAAGAGACTACACAATTTCGAAAGAGACTAATGGCGTTAAAAAAACAAAAGGCAAACCACTCGAAAGGAATTGGAGAATTTCAGAACAAGGAGCAAACCGTTCGATAAAGATTCGAGATTTGAAACCGCTCGAAAGGAACTGAAGAATTTGAAAAGAAGGAGCAAACCGCTCGAAAAAACAACTAGAGAATTTCAACGCAGACTTGAGAATTGGAGGACAAGGAGCAAGCCGCTCGAAGGAGCCAGAAAATCTCAGAGAAAGGAGCAAGCCGCTCGAAAGAGACCTCATTTAACCCGCTCGGTAAGAACTTAAGATTTTCAGAAAAGGAGCAAACCGCTCGAAGGGGTCTACAAAACTTCGAAATAGACGAGGTAACTTGAGAACAAGGAGCAAACCGCTCGAAAGGAACTAGAGAATTTCAGAACGAGGAACAAAACGCTCGAAGGAGACCAAAGAATTTCGAAATAGACTGGAAAAAACTGAAAACAACGAGCAACCTGCGAAAGGAACTAGAGGATGTCAGAAGGAGGAACAAGCCGCTCGAAAGAGATCAGAGAATTTCGAAAGAGACTTAAGAGTTTGAAAGCAAGGAGCAGAATGCTCGACAGAAACTAAAGAACTTCAGAACATGCAGCACTGCTTGAAAAAAACGAGAGAATTTCGAAAGAGACTAAGGATTTAAAACCAAGGACCAAACCGCTCTAAAAGGGGATTGGAGAACTTCAGGACAAGGCGCAAATCGTTCGAAAGGGACTAGAGATTCAAACCGCTCGGAAGGAACGAAAGAATTTCAGAAGAAGGAGCAAACCGCTCGGAAGAGACCTTCGGGACTTTCGAAAGACACCCGAGAATTGGAAAACAAGAGGCAAACAGCTGGAAAGGAACCAGAGAATTTCAGAAGAAGAAGAAGCAAACCGCTCGAAAGAAACCAAAAAAATAACAGAAAAAAGACGGAATAGATTTTGAAGACAAGGAGCAAACCGTTCGAAACAGACTAGATTATTTAGAAAAGACTAAAGAAGTTGAAATCAAGGAGCAGTCCGAACGAAAGGAATTGGAGAATTGCTCGAAACAAACTAATAAGGAGTTTCGAAAGAAACTAGACAAATTGAACACAAGGCGCAAACCGCTCGAAAGGAACTAGAGAATTTCAGAACAAAGAGCAAACCGCTCGAAGCAGACTAATAGAGAATTTCGATAGAGACTAGAGAATTTGGAAACAAGGAGCAAACCGTCCGAAAGGAACCAGAGAATTGCAGAATGAAGGAGCAGACCGCTCGAAAGAGACTAGAGAATTACGAAAGGCAATACAGAGATTGACGACCATGAGCAAACTGCTCGAAAAGAACCAGAGAATTTCAGAAGTGGGAGCAAACCGCTCGAAAGAAGCTAAAGAATGTCGAAAGAGACTAGAGCGAAGGAAACACGGAACACACCGAGCGGAAAGAATTTCAGAAGAAGGAGCAAGCCGCTTGAAAGAGACAAGAAAATTTCGAAAGAGACGGGGGAATTTCAGAACAAGGAGCAAACTGCTCGAAAGAAACTAGAGGTTTAAGCCGCTCGAAAGGAACTAAAGAATTTCAGAAGAAGGAGCAAATCGTTCGAACGAGACCAGAGAATTTCAACACAGATTTGAGAGTTGGAAGACGAGGAGCAAACCGTTTGAAAGGACCGACAGACTTACAGAAAAAAAACAAAGCGCTCGAAAGAGACTATAGACAATTTCGAAAGACGCTAACAGAGCTGAAAACAAGGAGCAAACCACTCCCAAGGAACTAGAGAATTACAGGCCAAGGAGCAATTCGTTCGAAGGAGACCATAAAAATATTCGAATGACACTAGAGAGTTGTAACACGAGGAGCAAACCGCTTGAAAGGAAATAGTGAATTTCAGAAGAAGTAGCAAGCCGCTCGAAAGAGACCAGAGAATTTCGAAACCGACTTGCGAAATCGAAAAAGCAGCACACCGCTCGAAAGGAACTAGAGAATTTCAGAAGAAGGAGCCAACCGCGCGAGAGAAACGAGAGAATTTCGAAAGTGGTTTGAGAATTTGAACTCAATCAACAAACAGCTCGCAAGGAACCACAGAAAGCTCTGTCTCTCTCTCTTTCTCTCGAGATTTTAGCGTATCGAAAGATACTACAACATTCGAAAACACAGAAAGCACAGGTCGAAAGGAACTAGAGAATTTCAGAAGAAGGAGCAAACCGCTCTCGAAACAGGCGAGAGAATAAGGAGCAAACCGCTCGAGACAGACAAAAGAGTTTCGAAAGAGACTACAGAATTTAAAAGCAAGGAGCAAACCGCGCGAAAGGGATTAGAGAATTTCAGAACAAGGAGCAAACAGCTCGAAGGAAATTATAAAAAGTTTCGAAAGACAGTAGAGAGTTTTAACACAAGGAGCAAACCGCCCGAAAGGAACTAATTAGAGAACTTCAGAACAAGGAGCAAGCCGCTCGAAAGATACTAGAGAGTTTCGAAAACAGACTAGAGAACTGGAAAACAAGGAGCAA